TTGGAGTTGACAGTTTTAAAGGCATTTAGGTAAAATCATTTCAAGATATATGGAGAAAGGGAAGATACCAAAGGTGTGGAAAAATGTATTGTATCTTATTACTACCAAAAGAATTTATATGCTTAGTATTGATATACTAAGAATATATCAATAGCTGTTCACCCATATGCCTAATTTCCTAGCTATGTAAAATTTTAATGAAAATAATCTATGCACATATCAAGGACATCCTTGATGAGAGTATTAAAAGAAAACAGGCTTTTGCATGCAATGTTCCACAGGAGGCCATATCTTTACCATCATACTGAAAGATGAAGAAAATTCAAGAACTCACTGTGATTATTATTTGTTGACCATGAAAAAAAATTGTAGTCAAGCAAAGCACTGCCTTAAAGGCTCGCTTTCAACTAAGTATATGCCGTGTAAATGTCAAAATTATACTAGATACTTTGAAAGACACAGTAGCAAGAAGAAACTTGTTCAACCTCCCTCTGATTATTAACATGAAGTAAGGCATAAAATAAGGAGGCATAGAATCACCAGAGGTATCTGCTACTGTCATGGAGAAGATCTAGGGTAGAGTCTAAGTCAAAAATGGATTCCCTATTGATGGTGAGATCCTCCAGAAGTTTCTCTTTGTGAATTATGTGCAATCACATCAAGCCCCGGAGCACTACAGAAACTTCTAAGTGAGATCCATAATCACTCAAAAAGAATTGGCCTAACTATCCACATAGGAAAAATTGAGTAGCTAAACAATGCCTATTGTCCAGATTAATATGCAGTTGGGTAGACATCCTAGAGAGCTCATCCATCAGTGTTATTGTCCTGAATAGACATTGTAAATGGACATTTAGTCTCAGAGTAGAACAGGAGGAAGGAAGGGAGGAAGCTGAATTTCCTTTGGGAAATTACCAAGTTCTTTTAATGATGCCCAAGTTCTTCCATGAAGGAAAGGCCCATCTTTTTAATACCAATATTCTTCCAAGATTGTATGGCTGGCTGCAAGTCATGGAACACTGTGGTCTCTGAAGAATTGAAGTTCACATGAAAAACAATAGAAAGGTGAAACATGAGCATTAACAAGCAGTGACACATTGAACAAGAAATGAAGCAGGGGATGTTTCAAGGGTTTGATCAAAGGAATGTGAGAAAAACATGGGTTGTTCACATGGGGAGAAGAAGGAATAATCACAGAGAGCCAGAGTGCTTCATTGGAAAACTCAAATATTAAGCTCAAGGAAGACTTCCAATAATTGGGTAGACCCCTTGTGGGGACTCATGGGAGTTCAGGGACAAGAGATACAAAGGGCAGACATAATATGAATTGAGATCTGCCTTATCAGAAAGAATATTTACATTAATGAAATGGTAAATCCATTTGATTATTGATATTTAAGGAAACTGAAGCCTCAAGAGTTTAACTATTTTGCAAACCTTAAAGTACTTATAAACACTAGCTATTATTGTACAAATGATAGCTATCATTATTAATACTTGTTGATTGATTAATCCCTGATCTCATCAACATAGAGACTCCCTCCATCATTGCAAAATAATCCACAGTGCCAGAACTAGGACCTAGGCCTTAAGTTTTCAAGCCCACTGTTCTTTCTACTACACCATGCTACTTTTCTCACTTTTATGTAGTGTTAGTCTTTACAATGCATCCATTCTTTCAGTTAATCCAAAAAACAACCCTGGGAGAGAAAGAAATGCCAAGTATTGTCTATTTCCTATTGGAAAGTCTTTCTACAGGGCCATAATAACCTTCCCAATAAAATTTTTGTAAGGCAGTTTTTGTCTCTGTTGCTTTAAAGTGAGTGCCCTTTATACCCTTGCAATAGCTTCAGGGCTAAGGAGACTATTTCTAGAACATTGACTCCAGCTTTTTGTTCTTTGAAGTCTACTATGTTCAAGATACTCTTCGCAAGTTAGGATTAGAGTTGCCAGCTAACTGAGACACTTTAATGTTTGAGCACTAAAGGAATAGGAGGTAGTAGAAATATTACCAGACTGAAAGCTAGTAGCACATACTATGTCCAAGGCATTGTGCTTGGTTCTAGGATACAAAGACAAAAAATGAAAGGGTCCCTGTTCTCAAGAACCTTCGACTTGGTGGATGCAACATACATGTTTAAGTGAATACAAGATAATTTGAGGAGGGAAAAGAACACTTAATAACAGAGAAGGGGCAGGGAATCAGGGAAGGCTTCATGGAGAGGAGAGGCAATGACTAAGCTAAGCTTTTAAGGAATACACAGACAGAAATGAAGAGGGACCAAATTCCAGACATGAGGGTTAGTTTGTCCAAGGATGTAGGGAATGGAATCTGAAGTTCAGAGAATAGCTATAAATCCAGTTTGGCTAGAATATAAAGTACATGAAAGGGAATAATGAAATAAATTGAAGAGTGAGTTGTGGCCAGATCATGAAAAACATTAAATGCCAGGTTGAATATTTTACATTTTTACCTAGTTGCAATAGAAAGCCTTTGAAAGTGTTTGAGCAGAAGAGTGACATGGTCTGACCTGTACTTTGAGGATATAATTTTGGCAACTGTGTGAAAGATAAATTAGAGGGAGGATAGATTAGCAGGAATAGCTAGGAAGAAAAATGAGTTGGGAAGAAGAGAGACTGAATTTAAGAGGCTATTATAATAATCTAAGTAACAAATGATAAAGGTCTGTTTCTGTAGGTGAAGAAAAGGAAGCTGATAAAACAAACACCATGAAGGAAAAATTGATAGTATTTGGCAACAGGTTTTATATAAAGGATGTCAGGGATGATTTTACAGTTACAAACCTGTATGGCTAGAACAAATGCAGTGCTCTTGACAGAAATAGCAAAGTTTGAAGGAGGGGGTAAGTTTAGGGAATATATGACAAGTTTGGATTTGGACATGTGGAATTTAAGAGCCAGGTGGAGATGTCCAGATGGTTGTTAGTGATGTGTGGGACTGAAGTTCAGGAGACACATAAGGATTGGGCATATTGATTTGAGAATCATCTGCATATAAAATGATCATTAAATCCATAGAATCTGATGGCATCATGTAGGAGAGAAAGTCAGTCAGTGAACATTTATTAAGAATGGAGGGCACAAAGAAATGCAAAAGAGAGTGTAAGAGAGTATATAGAGAGAAAAGAATAGGACCAGGACAGAACATTGAGTGGTAACTATTCTTAAAGGGAAGGAAATGAAAGATGAGCCAGAAAAGAAAACTGAGGCATGGTCAACAGATAGAAGGAGAACCAGAAGAGAACAGTGTAATGAAAAACACAGAAGAATGATGCATCCAGAAGGGGTAAAGGGGGCTCAAAAGTTGTAGAATGGAATTGAAAAGCATTTAAATGCTTTTCTAGGTGCCAAACCCTATGCTAAGTAGTGAGGATACAAATCCAAAACCAAGTCTGTTCTAAAGGAGCTCTCATTCTAATTGAAGGAGACAATAGAAGAAGGAAGTAGGAAACAAGCACTTATTTAGCACCAACTGTGTGTCAGGCACTGTGTTAACCACTTTACAAATATCTCATTTGATCTTCACAACAACCCTGGGAGTTAGGTGCTATTATTATCCACTTTTTACAGTTGGAGAAAGCAAACAAAGGTTAGGTCACATAGTTGATAAGTGTCTAAGGCCAGATTTTAACTCATGTTTTCCTGATTCCAGGTCAGCATTCTATTCACTGAGCCATCCTCATGTTCAGTTCTTGGCATGTGAACAAGGAGAAAGAGGATTGAGAAAAAGGATTTCTTAATTATTGGAGAGAGGGAGGGAGGGGGAAGAGAGAGGAGAAAAGGATAGAGAGAGGTTGAGAGATTGAGATTCCTCTTGATAAAACTACATATATAATGATCATTAAAAGCATAGTAACTGATGGCATCACTTAGGAGAGAGAGATTCAGTCAGTCAGTAAACATTTATTAAGCACTGGGGACACAAAGAAATGCAAAAGCCAGTATAAGAGAGTATATAGAGAGAAAAGAATAGGACCAGGTTAGAGCCTTCCAATTAATAGCCTGAATTAATTTCTTTAAGTATTGACTGATTTGATCTCCTTGCTGTCCAAGGGAGTCTTCTTTGAAAGTATTGATTTTGCAGTGTTCAGCTTTCCTCACAGGTATCCAACTCTCACAGGTATCAGATGAGCTAGGGGAAGTAAGTAGGGAGAAATAGGTATCCAGTTTTACCCAAGAGACAGTGACTGATGAGGCTGCATTTAAAATAGCTTGGGTATGTGGAGATCTGGGAATGATGTTGTTAAGTAGAGAATGAGGAAAATGAGAATAGAAATTTAAAATGGGCGGGGGGGGGGGGGAACTACCAAGTAGAACTTTGAGAGTTAGTTTGTTTCCTGTATGGTGTTTCTTCCTGGTTTTGGAGGAAAGTAATCTTATCACACTTTGTCATGCAGAGGTGACTCCTTATTCGTAAGCCCTCTCTTGCATCTAGAAAGCTCAGTTGGAAGACAAGTATATTCTAAGTCAGAAGACCTGGGTTAGAGTCCTAGCTCTGCCACTTATTAGATGTGAACTTAAGTTCTTAGAGACTCAGTTTCCCCATCTATTAAATTAAGAATAATAATACTTTGCCCCACACAGCATGAGGTTTTTGTGAAGACCAAATGAGATAATGGGTATTAAGTGCTCTATAAATCATCAAACACTATAGAATTGCCAGGCATTGTTATTATCATTACGTACAGTGTATTGGGGTGACAAAATATTATTTAGAAATGAGCAGGAAGACTGCACAGCACAAAGGAGACAAGATTATGTTATTATGATATACAATTCAATGATCATTCATTAAACACTTAATATGGAAGATCTGATGTTCTGTGCTGGGAGAATACGAAGAAGAATTAGATACCCCTTGCCCTTAGGGAATTTGTAGTCTAATACATCTAAATCAGATCTGTCACTTAGTGTTTTTTGGACTAGAATTGAGCTTTGTCTTTATTCTTCCCTTTCTTTTTTTCCTCTCTTCTATGTAGCTGCAACAACAAACTGTACCTAGAGAAGCTCCCTAACACCAGTATTATCATCCCATTCCACAATGAAGGTTGGTCCTCCCTCCTGCGTACTGTCCACAGTGTACTAAACCGTTCTCCTCCAGAGTTGGTGGCTGAGATTGTGCTGGTGGATGACTTCAGTGACCGAGGTAAGCCATTATCTGCCTTCCTCTCTTTGCACATAAAACAAATTTACTAAATAGTGATTGGATGAATGAAAGATGTTTTACTTTTATAAATAGTCAATAGTCAATAAACATTAGATGCCTACTATGTGCCAGACATTGTGCTAAGTGTTGGGGCTACTAAGACAGGTAAAAGACAGCCCCTGCCCTCAAGGAGCTCCTAGTCTAATGGGGGAAGGCAATACATACAAAGAAGCTAAAAAATGAGAGGTGGGTTTAGGAGATGGTTACCCAGTGCAGGGGTATGATGAAGTCCTACAGCCAGGATGGCAAATGATCTGAGGAAGTGTGTTTCAAAGATGATTCTATCTTGCAGAATGATACTAGAGGTGAAAGGAACCTCAGAGATCATCTAGTTCAGTCTACTCATTTTACAAATAAGGAAATTGAGATTCATGAGAATGAAAATCTTTTCCAAGGTTACACTATAGTATTTAGAGCTGAAAAAGACCTTAGAGCTAAATCCCTGTATTTTACAAATGAGGACATTGAGGTCTACAGAGGTGAAGGGATTTGCCTAGTAAGGGAATCCCCAGTAAGTAGAGAAGCTAGGATTCAAACCTACATCTTCTGACTCTAAATCCAGTGCTCTCGCCACAACTGCCTCCCACCTGGGTCAGAGTCAGGACTAGAATCTCTGGGTCCTCTCATTCTAAATCTAGGACTCTTTTCACTCAACTACCCCATCTTTTACCTCCACATTATACTTTTCAAAATATTTTCCCATCTATTTTCTAGTGACCCCTTTGGAAGACCAGGGAATAAGTTGGGCTAGGAAATTATTCTGTAAAGCTTTGCTGCTTTTGAAAAGTAGCATTTCTGTTTTCTGTTGGAAACAAAACAGCTGTGAGATTGTTGGTCCTTTTCTGCAACAGAGATCATGATTTCCTCTCCTGTTGCCCCTCTTACTCCTGGAAATTTTTAAATTATTCAAGACATGGAAGCCTTATTATCTGTTGGAAGGCTGTAATGTAATTGCTAAACATCATTTCAAGAGCTGTCTCTCTGTGTAAGCCACTGTATTCAGAAACCCCAAGGCTGCTTCAAGTGGAAAATATGTCATATTGATCCAAGTATAGACCATACTTCTCCTTCAAATCTGAATTGCTTGAACCCTTAGTATAGCTTATAATCAGCATTATTTTTCAGGGTATTTTTTTCCTTCTAGAAAGATCTCATTTTAAGATTGTGACCTATATTCAGAGTCAGCCACTATTTGGATCATTTCAGCATTTGTTCATTTACTCACCATCTACTGAGAGCCTACTGTATACAGGGTACTTTGTCAATCACTGAGAGAAATCCAGAGTTTAATTAAGACAATACCTGCTTTCATGTACCTAATAGAAGGATAAGATGAAAACACACAATAATACATGATAAGTGCATTAGAGAGTTGCAAAACAAAGTGTTATGTGAAATTTGAGGAAGAAGGTTTTTACTGATGAGGTAAAGAAAGACTTCTTGGAGCAAGTGGCATTTGAGTTGGGCTTTATAAGCTTAGTAGGAATGAAAAGGTGAAATGAGAGAAAGAACACATTCTAGACATAGGGAATCATATATATGGAGGCCAGAGAATACAGGGAATTGGGGTGGGGGGGGACAGTAAAGGCAGGGCCAAAGAGTCATCCATTTTGGATTTGAAAATATGTGAAGGGAGACTTGTATGAGATAAGACTGAAAAGTTATGGTAATGCCAGATTTATGGAACTTTGAATGCCAAGGAAGGAAGTTTGAACTTTATTTAGTAGGTGATAGGAAACCCCTGAAGGTTTTTGAGCAAGGAAGTGATAGATCAGATGTGTGCATAAGGAAAATTTTGTTGTTGTTGTTGTTATTCAGTCATGTCCCACTCTTCGTGGTCCCATTTGAGGTTTTCTTGGCAAAGATACTGGAGTGGTCTGCTCTTTCCTTTTCCATCTCATTTTACAGATGAGGAACCTGAGGCAAACAGAGTTAAGTAATTTGCCGAGGATCACACAGCTAGTGTTTGAATCAAGAAGACCACTTAGAAAGCTATTACAGTATTCAAGGTGAGAGGTAATAAGGTCTGAACTAGAGTATTGGCTATGTAAGCAGGAAGAAGGGTTCAGAAATGAGAGATGTTTGGGTGACATTTAGAAATGTCAGGATTTGGCAACTAATATGACAAATGTCATGAGTAAGAGTAAGGAATTAAAGATTTTGAAGGCTTTGAATCTGGGTGACTGGAAGAATGGTGATGCCTTTGAAAGAAACAGAGATGTTTGGAAAAGGGATTACTTTAGGGGAAAAATAATGTAATAAGAGTTGTGATACAATTTGAAACCCATCCACACCTATTTATCCTATGTGACTCACCAAAAATGAAAAGGAGAAAGTGGAACTCTTACTCACCACCCCCCCAAGGAGCACCTGCCATATCCAGGATATAATCTGGGGGCAGGATATGGATATGCTGGGGTCAGAGTGCAGGGTGGGGTGGTGATGGAGATTTTACCTGCCAGCTGCTGATGTTGGTGTCTCTGTCACAGTTAGGGAATAACTACCCTGATGGTCTGGTGCTTGATTAAGGAAGAGAGAGATTAAGGAAGAGAGGCCAACAGCAAGAGGTATCCAGATGGGGTAGTGTTGATGATAATGGGAGTTGTAAAGTTATGTTTGAGGTAATCCCAGTGATTGACTGTCATGGGAAAGGTGGGACATGACCTACCTTCCAATGCTTAGATTGGTTGAACACTTTTGGGTCGTGCCATGGCTTTCAGGGGGCTGGTGCCCCTACTTTAGATAATACTGACCTAGAAAGAAAAAGGAGAAAGAAAAGAAGCAGGAAGTAGAATCACAAAAACTTAAAGCTGGAAGGGATTTACAGAAGGCATCTAGTACAACTCCTCCTCGGGTTGTAATCCCTGCAGTCTGTCTGACAAGTGGTCATCCAACTTCCCTTTCAAGATCTCTAGTGATAGGGTACTTAATCCTTCCTAAAATAGCACATTCCACTGTTGGACAGCTCTGATTTGTTAAAAGTTTCTTCCTTATATAAATCCCTAATAGCAACAACTGTAACTTTTACCTACTGGTCCAAGTTCTGCCCTTCTCAGCAGTTCTAATCCCTCTTCAGCATAAAATAGGCCAAGTAGGCTATTGAGTTGTTTCTAACTCAGGAAACATCTTTGTTCATTGAGTTAAACTCTGATCAGCATATAGAACATAAAGTAGTAAAATGAATAAATAAGAAAGAAAATAAGACTGCTTTTAGGTGAAAGAATTCTTTTTTTCTTTCCTTCAAGTTTTCAAAATATAGATATAGTGAGGAAATCAAAATCATTTGGAAATAGGATAGGGTACATAAAATAACTAGCATTTATATGGAATTTTAAGATTTACCAAGCGTTTTGCACATGTTATCTCATTTGATTCTCACAACAACCCTGAGAGGCAGGTGCTGTTATTATCCTCATTTTATAGATGAGAAAACCAAGGCTGTTAAAAGTGCCTTATGCAGGGTTTGAACTCAGTTTTTTCTAACTCCAGTCCAATGTTTTATCTACTGTGCCGCCTGGCTGCTATATCTCCATCATCCTTTCTGCTACCAAGTATGCTTTCAGTTAACTTAAAGAAGATAAGTTTACATTCTGATGCTTTCATTCAACCATAAAAAGCAGTTTATGTTACCCACAGAACATTAAATATAAAAGAATAATAGTAGGATAGTGAGTTGTGCCTGGATTATTTCTATCTGAATTTTATTGAAAAGTTGAGAACACTTATATAATAGTAACAGTAACAAAAACTTTCAAAATACAGAGACCAAGCAGAGCAGAAGAAATCAAAATATGTAGGAACCAGAGGTACATACTATCCTTGTCATCCTGACTGCCAGTGGTGTTGTGCTGAAGATGTTTTTAATGACTCTACAATAGATGAGATTATACCCAATTCTTTTATTTGATTACAAAAAAAAAATTTATTCACCTGTATAATAGTCCACAGAATATTAAATAAAAAGAGTAGTATCAGATAGCAACTTCTCCCCAGATCATTTCTGCTAGAATTCCCATCAAAAAATATGGAAAGATGGATAATAATAATAATGATAAGATTTTGACTTCATTTCACATTCATTTCTTACTCATGTACTGCAAACAAAATAGACCCAAGTATAGCTACAGCAGTAGAGCATTTGATGTCCACATGGAAAACTTTTCCTTAGTGAAACTTGCCACCAATACAATAATGTCAAGAACAATTGATTTTTTTTAAATGGCATTTTTCAGGGAGAGTTTAAGCCCATTATGGTTCTGCCTTGCCTTAAATCCATTATCATCTCTCCTAAGTAGAACTAAGTATAGCCTCCAAGTTAAAAAGGGAGTTGAATCAAATATCTTGTTAATCACTTGCTGTACTTGGATGACATGAAGATTATATATCTCCTCTGAAGGAGCTCTATTAAACAATTCCTTCAACTAATGGAATCTTCCTCCAATGATATCAAAATGTCATTTGAACTCGGTCATTGTTAAATTCTTATTGTATGCCAAGAAAGATTGGGACTAAGAATTTTAAACTTAAATTCAGAAGTCAAATTGAAATAGTGGGCAAAGATGATATTTGAACATACATTAATCTCTTCCAGGAAAGACACATCAAAGATAATACCATCTACAAGAAATCTGTAGCTGAATATGTTCAGAAATTTTGTGATGTCCTGAAATCAAAGCTCAATGAGAAGAACACATTTAAAGCAAGTAGCACCTATATACTACCAGCCTCAATGTACTACACTTTGGGAACTATAAAATGGACCACAATACATTTGCAAAGTATCCTTTGAAAAACTCATACAATATTAATGAAACATAGGGTCCACCACCTTAACAGCAATAGAAATATTTCACTTCCTCACCAAAAAGGAGGAAGAGGATTGACAGACATTTTATAGAACATATGAAAAACAGGTTTAAGAACCTGCAGAAGTATTTTTT